GTGGCCAGCTCAGCCCACCCTGGGTTCAGGGCCAGCAAGACATGAGTTGCCGGGGATCACACCATGGCCCGTGTGCTGCTTAAGCTTGCCTAAGCAGGCACTTTAGACTGCTGAGCTATCTCACTGGCCTGCTTCCTGGTTTTACAAACAATGTTGTATTGGGATGTGACTATGTGAATTCATTTGTACACGGCTGTCTTGTGGTCTTAGGCTAGACACTGAAATGTCTACTAAAAACACCACAGGATGTCAAATTGCCTGTCAACTTGCCAAATTGAGAAAATGAAAATTCTTGATCCTGGTCTTCACCACACACAAAGTCCCTCTTACAATATGAAGGTATTCCTTTAAGCAAGATGTGATATTTTTTGCAAGAATGTTTAAGGCAGAATCAGGTTACACTTCAATGCTGCCATGCAAGGAGAAGAGATTATGCTCATAGTTCATGTAAAACCTTTGGGAAAGGACTTGATTATAACGTAAAAGGATGATTAGGCAGATGTCCATGCATATCCTGTGACGTTGTACTGAATGTTACTACCTGGTGGAAGCCTTCAGAGAGGCCACAGGGCAGCGCAGCGCTCCTTCTGCACTTCAGAGGTTTTTTGTCATGCTCTGGGTGGCCACTGCTGAGACCAATAGATACCAGTGACCATAAGAAGAGACTGTAAGCACTAATGCAATTAGTGCAAACTGTGGTCAATGACGTAGGACTATTCTCCTAGTTTTGTGACATTATTTTGGAAGGATTTTTCCTGTGTCGCTGGGAAGAATCAAGGATTCTGGCAGGCTAGAGCATGCAGTGGGAGGCTGTAGAAGACCATCACATCTTGTTGTTTTGACATGTCCCTGGATGGAAGGACCTTGCAAGAAGCAAAAAGAACATCAGGTGGATTCCAGGATCACAGGTTTCTGCCCATGAAGAAATTGCATTCAGGACTATAGAGTTAGAGAGTTTTTGATAGTTTATTTTCATTAAATCTTTATTTTGGTGTTTCACCTGGACAGTTTAAATACTTGATGATAATGGTGACGGTACTGAGGTATCCTGAAAAAAACCCAAGGAAAAAAAAAACCTGGGGAAAAAAAAAAGTCATTGAGTAGGGCTTGGAAGGGTCAAAAATGCCATCCACAGTGAGCAGAGTTCTACAAGCAAAGCCCATGATGTTGCCTCTTCCCACATGTGTGGGGCAATGGTTCAAATCCAAGAGGGACTCCTGAGTTAGGAGCCAGAAGAGTAGAAGAGAAATCACTGTCCCCTTAGGTGGGGCACTGGCTCTTGCCTGCTACAGCCACCGACTGCTGCACTGAGTGAGTCACCTCTCCCTCCTCGTGAGTCTGACCCAAGCTCTGAAACCATAACCCTTGCTGCTTTCTGTTCAGTAACTTTATAACTCTAAGCACAACAAAATGAACGATAATCCAATAACAAATGTGACATTTTACTGGGAATTGGGAAATGCTCTTCTTTATACTTGTAAGAAGTTAGGAAATAACTTGTAAAATAAAAGGAAAAACATCACTCAAAAGTACCACGACAGATAATTATTAAAACTTTCTATGAAGAATTCAAATAAGTGTCAAACCAAAACACAAAGTGGGAATATTTATCTCCCTACTGAAAAGATATGCACATAAACTCTCAGAAAATGCTTGGGTTAACAGCCCTACTTTTACTCTGTGTGTGTGTGTGTGTGTGTGTGTGTGTGTGTGTGTGTCTTTTCCCCCTCCAGGTGATTTATCTGGAGTTTGTGAACACAGAGGTGAGAACTAGAAACAACTGAAACCTGCAAACTTGGTGGCTTAACAGATAAGGGTGGGTGAGAGGATAGGAGTATAGATTAAGAAAAAAAACTCCAAAAACTGACTGTGGATATAACTCAGTTACACTATGTGCTTTTAAAGACAACATTTCAAACTGCATGACAGATATGAAATAGCACTCAGTAAGCCTCCAAGTAATCTGCATGTTTTGAAATTTCCTGTACCAACTTCTATTAACCTCCTTTGTCATTTGCAGGAACAATGATCTTACATACATATTTAGTCTACAACTGGTCTGCAGGAAATTGAGGATTAAGCTTATCCAAACCTTTAGCTTAGGGAAGAATGAGTGGTAGAATGATACAGGTGCCTCTAAAACCTTTTTCCAGGCTGACGTTGCAATAAATTCTTGATGGATTATGGCCTGCAATAATTTCAAAAGAAACCAAGGAAAATGGGGGACACACTGTCAAACTTTGTCTAATAAAATATTCAAAAGGTCTGATTCCTGTATCCATGAATATCTTGGAAAAGATACCCTGTACCTTCCCAGTGCAACTTCTCTAACTCAATAAGTATGGTGCAGAAAGAGAGAATGAATGACCTTCAGGATTGTACCATTCACAACAGGCATAGAGAACAGATCTCATTTAGATAGACAACATTTTTCAACAGCTATTTTCTCAAGGATAGACTCATCTGTTCTCAGAGCATTCCCTACGGTGACTCAGAAAGTCTAAGGATGGTTGCAGGAAGTGCTGAACTATCAGCAGCCCCCCTAGCAGCAGTGGCACGTCATCGCAGGAATGAGTCCGCAGAGGAACTGAAAAGAAGAGCAGGTATGCAGAAGGAGAGTCTGACACTGTGCATCTCGGATAGGATCCCAAGTCTTCATTGAGGTCAGATACATGAGAAGGAAGTGTTTGCAAATTCACCCGCACAGCTAGCTAAAGAATTCACCTTCCTATAAAGTATGTCCCAAGGAAGGGCCACTTACTCTTGTTGACCCAACGAACAACTCAGTTCCTTTTATAGAAATCTGGGCTGGGGATCTAGATCAGTGACACAAGCACCTGCCTAGCAAGTGCAAGGTCCCAAGTCCAATCCCCAGTACTGCAAAAGAAAAACAACTCGTAGAAATATATATATCCATAGATAGATATGTTTAGGAAAAAGAAACCAAGAAGTTACTTGCAGATGGAATTAATAAATTGAAACCAAAGTTACATGAATTATCCAAAAATTGGATTTGTTGATTTCATGAAGTCTCCAGCAAGTACTATGCAAAGTATTTTGCAGGATGTTGTCTCTGTGTTCCACATGGCACTTTATGTGCACTACTGTGACAACGATATCCCTGTCTCATTGGACTTTACATTTCTCAAGGACAAGATCAAGGTGAATTTTCCATTTTCCCGCCCTGTGCCCTGCACAGATGTTGGAGTGGTGGCCAGTCAGTGAGTAGGCACCAACGTGAAGAGAACAGTCTATTCCGTCTGTTCTCTGTGGTGGGCATGACTGTGACAAAGAACAAATGTCTGGTCAATGCCACCTCTGGTGTTATTAAAGAGATAAAAATCATTTTCCCACATTAGTCACAGGATCCTCAGACTAAATCTCCAACGAGTAACTGTGAGTAACCAGAAGACAGTAAACTATTCAAGAAAACATATCTAGAGAAGAGACAAATGTCTATCTCTCTAAATAAATTACAGAAATCATGGCAAGCTAGCCTGCAGACACAATGAATGGGGGAGTTGATATTAACAATATTTTAGGGTAAACTAATGCTCTGCCACTTGTATAATTTGATCCATTTTGTGTAAATGACGTCAACGAAATAGCTCCCTTAGACTGTGAACTTGCCCAGGTAGCTTTGGTTTTACTGTAAGGTGATCATATTCCATAAGGATTTTTTTTTGTAAATAGCAGTTATCAGAGCCTGAGTGTTACAGAGGACATTATGGAAATCTCCATGGGCAGGGAACATGCAGTCAGGACCTTGAATACCATAGTGAGAAACAGATTGTTAAGGACTCAAACGCTCTCCAAATATAGTTTTAGATTATGATTTCTTGACCTTGGAAATACACAATCAAATAATTACATAAAACTAAGTAGATCTCAATAGTGTTGAGGAAAAGCATGCAATGTTAGCACTTATTTCCCATTTTAAAGTGTATTCTGTTTGAAAGGTTCAGCTCGCTTGCTTTGAAAATACATCTCGTAAAAGTCATGGTGTTTTCTGGGTTTTTACCATAATCCAACCCTGTGACTGTATTTCAGATTTAGCCCTGAGACTAGTTATGACAATGAGGTGGAGACTGCACCATCTTGGCATCCACTCTGCTTTCAGTGGCAGGTATGCCCAGCTTGTGCCTGCAGTCTGTGTAGGCAGAGAGGGTGCGGTGTAGTGGAAGGTGTGGATCTGGGAAGGGAGCAGCTTCCCCAGTTCTCCTCCCTACAAGATCAGCTCTAAGAATCTATAAGTTGATGGGGTGGTGAATTCTCTGAGAGGGCTTTGCCAGTCCTTCATCTCTTCTATCACCATCATGTCAGCAAAATGTGGCCATGGCTTCTCAGAGACTCGAATAAGGAAGTGTTCCAATTTTATTACTCATACTTTCTTTTTCCGTTCCATTTCTTTAATGGAGATGCTTCGGGCTAAACACACTACATTTCATGGTGACTTTTATTTCATGTGACAAAGGAATATGTAGCCAAGCAAAAAGCTGACTTATCACGGCCTTTTTATAGAAATAGAAAATTCAAAAGTGAAAACTGGGAAAGGGCAAGAAAGGGCAAGGGGATGCTGTATATAAAGAGATTTGTTATGTAATCATTCGTCTTAGTAAAGCTAGAAAAATTTTAGAAATGGATTCTTGCTAGAGTCCATTGAAAATAAATTTACTAGAAAAGCATAATTATATCCTACAGGGTGTAGTGATTGAGAATCCACAGAAAATCTCAAGGAAAGAACGTGTATTAGAAATTTCAGAATTAAGAAATACAATAACCAACCCAATCCTTATGTCACAAGCTCTGAAACAGGAAGAAATGAGATGAGGCTAGTAAGTTCCTCCCTATGAGCCTCCTCATCTGGGGGAGTGTGAGTCAGAGGCCAGAGCAGAGTTAACCACAAGGTGGAAAGCACTGATCAGCTGCCAAGGCTGGCTAATGATGATGTGGTAATTGTTTTGCAAATCAAACTTAGTTTGTAAAGAGAGTCACCCACTACTAGCCACACCTGTAGATCATTCTGCTGAGATTTCCAGCATCTTGGAAGATTCATATCATTTTCTCCTGATATTTTTTCATCCAAAGTCATGAGGGGCAAAAGTTAGGCGTATTCGACAGCAGAATCACCAGACCTCCTCATACCACCCACAGATAAGTTCTCAGCGAGGCCTTCTGGAAGCGTCACAGCCCTCACTTTTGCTATCAAAGGGGACCAGGAACAGAAGCTCTGCCACCACCTCATCCGGAAAAGGAAGTCTAACCGAAAGTGCGAGTAATGGGCTGCTTTCCCACACTCAGCATGTAGCAGGGTTGAAAGTGTGGTGTGCTCGAGAATCTAAGGGCTTCTTTCAAATCAAGCAGGGGGCCACCTGGAGGTGACCAAAGTGCCGCCAATGTCATGGCCTCCTGAGCCCCTTAGACAGCAGCTAGGGACAGCAATTGAGGCGTCCTATCTATTCTAAAATGTGACGCCTGCAAATCTGTATTAACTCTTCACTGGATCTCTTGTGGGTGGATGGAAAGGAACAAGTCTGGTATTTCTCTTTTTTCCTGAAGTTCTTTTTTTTTAAATTTTTTCTAAGCTGAGTTCAGAAGATTTAAGCCTTTTCCTAGAACTGAAACTACTTTAGATTTTTATTTAAATGTATTTATCCTGCAACAATTTACAAGCGTATGTTTATACTTATTTTTTACCTCAATATAATAATTCCAAGAATAACCTAGCTATTATGTCTTAGGAAATTAGAGGAAGGCTATTTTAAAGTTACAGAACATCTACTTCTCAGCAGCTTTCTTGACCCCTATTTTCAAGCTACTATTCAATGCTTCCCCAAAGTGGATACTATCGTGTGCTGGTCTACAGCGTTGGCCCCAGGAGACAGTAGAGGAAAAGAGCAAAGTAAGTGGTCACTACTATTGCAAGCCTATATTTGAAAATACCCAGAGATATAAGTGATAGTAGAAAATAAATTAAAAAGTTGACATGTTGGGGTAAAGAGGTGCTTGAGTTAAGAAAAGGAAATCAAAACAAAGACACCAGCCTTGTTCTTCCTGAAAGGTCACCGAAGCGAGCCAGGCCTGAAGGGCTGGCGTTTCTCTGCCCTGGATTCCCTGGTGCAAACGGACTTGAGAATTGGGAGATATCAGGGATGACTGTTAAAGGCCTACATCACAAAACTCAAGTTCGAAGTGAGATGGCGAGACAGAGAGAGTGAAAACCTACGAGTGAATCTGAGGAACCCGAACACAAAGCTGAATATGCCCATGCGCACACGCCTGTCTTTTCCTTGTGTAGAAAAGTAAAGTCCGTGTCTTGAGTGGTCATTTTCACGACAGTGCGCGTGTCAGAGAGAAAGGGTTCACCGTAGCTGCCGGGTCTCCTGAGCCGAGTCAAGGGGATCAATGCCGTGGTGGATGCAAACGACAAGCGATTAAGAGAAAGAACAAGAAGAATTAAGGTACCAGAGAGAGAGGAGAAAAAGTTCACAACTACAAAATGACTCTTGGGTGACCCTGCAGTTTCTCAGATGAAATATTCCCTTTTGCAGTCGCTCACTGTGTTTTGCAAGTCAATCTCGTTCCGGAAGGAGCTGTCCAAGTTCTCAGGATAGTCCTTCTCCTTCACCTGGTTGGTGCGGTGGGCCTGCTTGTGCTGGTACAGGAAGCGGATCATGACGCCGACTGTGCAGAAGGTCACGAAGATCACTACCGCTATCACTCCTGCAGGAAGCAGACGGGGGAGAGAACACCCGTCACAGTCATTGCGGAGGAGAGAAGGTGGAGGGTAGACCAGAAGCCCGTTAGAAAACGAGACAAACACAGCGTTGCCACCCGTCTAAAAGCGAAATCTGCGAAAATGCCTTCCATGCTCAGTTATTACATGATTTAAAACTTCTTCAGACCAGTAGCAGAACAAGGCAGGTTAAACCTTAGCAGGTTATATTGAATAGTCAAAAAACTTCACCTTACAAATATGCCACTGAATAGCAAAGGACTTCTGTTTATTTATTTATTTATTTATTTATTGTAGTTAGTACATGGTTTACAGGGTCTCACTATGTAGATCGGACGTGTAGTGATTCCCCTATTGTCAGCCTCCCAAGTGCTGGGATTATAGGTCTGGGCCACCACACCCAATCTCAAACCCATCTCAGCGAGTCCTGGTGGTCCCGCCAGCACAGCACACCAGGGACAGAACCCCGGCCGCTGCAATCTGCCTAAGCAGGTGCTTCAGTCCGCTGAGATATTTGGCTGGCCCCAGGGCTTCTGCTTCACTTGTTACATTTTGTTTGGGTGTTGAGAATTGAACCTGGGGCTTTGCACAAGTTGAAGAAGGGCTCCTCCACTGAGCTATGGCCCCAGCCCAGCATAAGTCCAGAGCGGAGTCTCAAAATCTTTAGCAACTGTGCTAAAATAATATTATTCATGTTTTAGTGTCGCCATGCAACTATTTATTTATTTATTTTTCTGTATTTTAGGGAAGGGTCTACAGGATGCTCAGGGTCTCACTACTAGATAAGACTCGTAGTGATTCTCCTGTTTACAGCCTCCCAAGAGCTGAGATTACAGGCGGACACCACCACGCTCAGTCTCAATAGGTATCTCAGTGTGCCCAGGGGCCCAGGCTGGCACGGTAGCCCCATATTTCTTTACTTATTTATTTATTTAGGTCCGCTCAGCCAACTCTGAGGGTGGAGCTGGGGAGCACGCAGTGCTGGCATCGAAACATGGTCTCCACTCCTGCCTATGCTTTCCTAAGCAGGGACTATTGACTGCTGAGCTCTCTTGCTGGCCCTCAACTGAGTCTTTTCACCTTTCTGGAATACGATACCTAAATGCCTCTCATCCCAGCGTGTACTCATGTATGTACGTTTATTTTAGGTTATCTATTGATTTCCTGAAAAGCATTCATTAACCATGAAATGCATCCCAACAGGTTAGCACATCTCACACTGTGCCACATTCTACTGGACTTGGGAGACTCAGCCCTGAGATCGCTGTGTCCTTGCAAAACCCAGACTGGCCTGAAATGACAGCTTCTGCCCGGTCTGTCACATCCACCTTTACCGCTATATAATTTTCCTGAATCTATTTTGTAAGTTTTCTTTGCTGACTCTAAAGATTCATCATTACTTTTGCCAAGAAATCTCTTGGGGAAAATAAAAAGCAGTATTCTCAAAAGCGTGCTAAAAATGTAGAAGGGAGAAGGTGTCCCTACATAAATGTAGATTTTTTTTTCACCATTAAAACATCTAAAAACTATTCTTGATAATCCAAGAACATTTCATTGGTAATGAATTATAGATTCTGCTATTTTGCTTTTCTATGTAGTACAGCATTGATAAAAAAGGTCTATTTTAGAAACTCATTCTTGCATGCTCGGCATTACGACTTACATAACCACGGATGATGGATATTTAAATACATTGATGGCATATCTTCCACTAAGTGGCTTGCAAGAGTTGTGAAAATGATTAAGATTGCTTCTATTTTTCTACATTCCTAAGCCTACTTAACACATCCTCAGACTATTTTAGAAAAAAAGGCAAAGTAAAACCACCTAAAGCAACAGTCCTCTGAGTTTGGATTTCAGTGAGTAGCTGCCCTGCACTCTGTCCTTGGCAGCTAAAGATGGGAAAGAGGGAAGTGTTTCCATCCTTTCGGCACAACTGTTAAGTCCTTCATGCCTCTAGGAATTTTCCAATAGTTAGGACAACTTTCTTATGCATAAGGCAACTCACAGAAGCATGCAAATAAATGGTGAAAAGCTAGCGGTCATGAAGGTCTTTTCTCCACTTGTCAAAGGAAAAATTCCTGGAAGAGAAACCAATACAAAATACTTTCTGGTATTTCCTGATGCCAAACAAAAATCAAGATCAACTGGTTTCCCTGAAGCAGAAATATAGCTGAGAGGCTTCAGCATTTTCCTTCTTTATTTTCTCATGCAGTGGTGCCCCAGGGATCCAGTGGCCATGTGTCCTGTCTCCTTCCCAACAGTCTCCCCTGTGTCTACTGCTGGGTGCTTGCTCATCCCATCCCAGCCAGGCTGTGAGTTCTACCAAGGCAATGTGCCAATCTTTCATCCTGTGTCCCTACATTTAGCACAGAGCCCGACCCAGAGCAGGACCCAATATGTACAAGGTAAATGCAGGGACAGTGCCAACTTTTAAAGCGAACTCCATCTGGTGTGCATCAGTTCACCCACACTTCCACAAGGCAGGGACGTGACAACTGCTAGGGTGATGGTTCTCAAATGGAAATGAACTAAGCCTTTCTCAGGCATCTTCCATTAAACTAGTTTTGGGAGTCTTTCTCTAGTGCACGACCCAGATGGAAAAATAAAGCTAATGTAGGCATCAAACAATCTAAAGGCAGAATGAAAAGGGATGAGGCCAGAAATGGAAAAATGAAAGAGCCAAGGAAGGAGGCAGGAGCTGGGCTGGCAACAGTATAGACGAGATCTTCATCTGCAGCCAAATGTGCTGCCGGATTTGCAACTGCAGTCCTGAGGGCTTCACCCTGCTCATTAGATCTAATCCAAATCACTTGATAGAGAAAGCCCGACAGGACTACGGCTTCACCCATCTGTCTGCCCTGATGTGGATCTTCTTTGTGTATAGCTTTATTGGTCTGCTTTGTTTACGCTTTAGGAGAAGTGACAACTGGATGAGATGGATGGGATGCAGTCTGCTTGTCTGTGAGTGAACGCTCCAGCTGTTGACTCTGTGCCCAGCTGTCTGGTGCATCAGAGGCAGGATTAATCCACAGATATGCTGGCATAGGGGAGGCCTTGGCTTCGATGCTGCAGCACACAGGACTAGTCCTGAAAGGCTCACCACCTGGCAGATAATGTGGGCTTCTGGATACTGGGTGACCATCACTAGAGAAGGCTTCGGATAACTTTCTCTCAAGTACAAGGTTCTATGTATCTTTTTTGCTTCTAACAACATAGCATAGCATACCTCCAATCACTGCAGAGTCGCTTCGAACTGCATTGGTGAGTGGTTCCCGCTCATCTGTCTTCCCAAAGGGATCTAAGAGAAGCAAAAGACACAAAATTTTAGTCTTCCCTCAAAGCACTGGAAGAGAGGATCTGATGTATCTGTTGGTTATACCACATACTCTTATCAAGTTGGAAACTGGTGCTTTGGGTGGAGCCCAAGCAGAAATTAAAATATCTCAAATAAGCTGCTCCCCACCTAGAGTTCCAAGATCCCCTTAGCTTATAGATACATTGTAGAAGGAAGAGTTGAACCAGATGCTGGTGGGTGCTGGGCCGTGTGCCCCTGGTCATCTCTGAGATCCTCCTGGGCTTTGTGGGTCACTTCTTCAGGACAATGGCTCCTTACCTTAGTCCCAGGGCACTTCATAAATGTTTTCTGTAATTACAGGATGGTTCTGAAGCCATTGTTATGGGAAAATGGTGTTGTAGAATCAACACACCCAGTACCAACTGGCCCTGAGAAAGTAATTGTGCCATGTGTCTATTAGGAGATGTTGTACAGTTACAAACCCTACTGTATGTGGTGTGCAAGTTAATGCAAAGTATCAAATTCAAAGGCACACAGCCTGAGTCAGAATCTTTGTCCTCCCACTTGGGTTGTCTAGAGACATTACACAAGATCTATTTTTAAATAACAAATTGCACATATATTAAAACTGGACAGTGATATGTATATATTATAAAATTCTAGCATCTGTTGCATATCACACATATAATAGCTATCATCATCATTGTTTATCATTTAGTAGTTGAGGAATGACAAAAAGTACTTTTGGGCAGAGAAGACAACATGCTTGAAAACATGAAGTGAGTTGTCAGTGTCCCATGGCTAGCGCATGCAGTCAGCCTGGGCCTGGGGCTGCCTCACTGTCCCATTCAGGCTCTTGCTAGCATACTTCACTCTAGCCAGGAAAACTTGGGCATGGAAAAGAGAGGTCAAAAAAGGAGAGGAAAAGGCAGAGTGGAAGGAGGTGGGGAACACAACAGCAGCCAGTGAAGAAAAGTGAAGGAAAAAAAGAGGAAGGGTGACAAGGAAGAAAAGGAGGTGAGGGAAGAGAGGAAGGAAGGGAGAAAAGAAGGGAGGGAACAGGAGCCAAGGCTGCAGGGAAAGGTGGAGCTCAAAGCACTTAGAATTGTTATGATTCCTGTGCCCTCACAAGCCTTCTATGCTCTTCCACCCTGTCCCAATTCTCCTTCCTGGAATTCCTCCTGCTCCTTTTCAAATATTCATATTTCAATTCTCTACCACTCTAGCTCACATTGGTTGCTTCTTCACTACTTTTTAACACTATGAGCCAATGTAGTCTTGATTTTAACCCAGATTTCTCTATTTCTACAATGTTTTGATGTTGTTAGATTAATACATATTAATTTTGGTTCTCTAGTGTTTACAAAAGCTACAAATAATACATTTCAGATCTGATAAGATAACTGCATCTGAAACAGGAGTGCACACACACACACATGCACGTGCACACACACATGCACACACACACACACACACACACACACACAAACAGTGCTTCTGTACATGCTCTGGTCACTCTCCAGAAATCGATCCTCAGCGTGGTGATCCATTTCTTTCAAGAATGTGCTTTATCTTTGTAATGTGTCTTTTCAAACTTTACCATGAGATTTCAGTTTTAACTCTCCTTACTCCCAAATAAATGCCTTAATTTAAATACTTAGACCCCACCTCTCCATAGCCATCTATCTAAATTCTATATGCACAAGCAGTTCACAAGAATGTCTCACGTTTGTCTTTCCCACTCATCTCAGTGGTTGCGCTGATTCAAATGCTGCTGATCATTAGTGATTTTCCGCAGCTTTTCCTATACCTATGTTTCATTTGTACACATCTTTAGAAAAATGTCTACTCAGAAACTTTGCCTTATTTTAAACAGGCTATTATTTTGTTGTGTGAGTTCCTTGTATATTATGAAACGTGATGTCTCATCACAGTATTTTGTAAGTATTTTGCCCCACTTCATAGATTGCCTTTTCATTGTGTTGATCATTTCCCTCTCTGGGAAGAAGCATTTTTGGTTTGATGCGGTCTCATTTACTTTTTATTGTGTTGCCTACATTTTCTTTTTTCATAATAGCCAAAAAGTTATTGTCAAGACTAAGGCAAAGGAATTTTCTTTGTATGGTTTCCTCCAGAAACTTTATAGTTCTCTAACTAAAATATAAGGTTGTACTTCATTTCAAGTAAACTTCTTTATTTGATAATAACAATAAGCAAATTTTAGTCTTTTGATTGTGGTTATCTTATTTCTCCAAAATAACTTATTTAAAAATTGTTCCTTGGGGCCAGGGAGATGACTCAGTAGAATAAGCGCCTCCCTGGCAAGCGCAAGGGCCTGAGTCCAATCCC